TGCATTCTCTCTAGTAGGGAGAAAGAGAAAGAAACACACACACACAGACAGAGACATCAGACTCCACTGCAATTTTGCCCTTTGAACAGACTTCAACACCCAGCCATAGCTTTCCATTAGGATGCTATCCACATCTCCAGCTTTATCTTCTCACACTGCACAATTCTCTTCCCTACGATCCTTCATCTGTTCTGCCTTCCTAAAATACTCCTACATGAATTTAATTCCTATTAATATAGGAAAAGACTTTTTAATCTCAGTATTATATTAAAAACTTTGCTCCTAGATAGCTTTATTCTCTCCCTTCTCCTTTGGGCTGTTATTGTCATACAGATTACATCTTTATAGCTTATGTGCATATTAACATTGATTTATAATTATTGCTTTATTCAGTTGTCTTCTAAATCAGATAGTAAATAAAAGAGAGTTACAACAAAAATATGTTAATATCATCTTTTACATTGACCTATGTAGTTACCTTTACATAGGTACCTTGCTCTTTGTTTCTTCATATTGATTTAAGGTACTGTCTAGTGTCCTTTCATTCCAGCCTGAAGAAATGTGTTGTAGGGCAGGTTTAGTATGTGTCATAGGGCAAGTTTGCCAGTAATAAATTCTGTGAGTTTTTGTTTATCTGGGAATAGCTTCATTTTTCCTTCATTTTTAAAGGATCACTTTGCCATACATAGAATTCTTGGTTGACAGTATTTTTCTTTCAGCACTTTGAATGTGTCATCCTACTGTCTTCTAGCCTCCTTGGTTTCTGATGAGAAATAAGCTATTAATCTTACTGAGGCTCCTATGAATGTGATGAATCTCTTTGTCATTCAACAACTTGATTATGATGTATCTTGGTGTGGGTCTCACTCTCCTTATTCTACTTGGAATGTATTGGGTTTGCATGTGTAGATCAACATTTTAAATAAGATTTGGGGAGTTTTTCAACTATTATTTCTTCAAATATTATTTCTGTTCCTTTTTCTCTGTACTCTCTTCTGGGTCCCATTATGTATATGTTGGTATACTTGATAGTGTCCTACAGATTTCCAAGGCTCTGCCATTTTTTCCATTTATTTTTGTTTCTCTTCCTCAGACTGGATAATCTCAATTGATCTTTTTTCAGGTTCTCTGATTGTTTCTTCTGACTATTCAAATCTGCTGTTGAGCTCCTCTAGTGAATTTTTCATTTCAGTCATTGTGCTTTTTAACTTCAGAACTTATATTTGGTTCTTTTTATAATTCTGTATTTTGGTATTATCTATTTGGTGAGACATTATTCCCAAACATTAGTTCTTTGTAAATGGCTTCATTTAATTCTTTGAACATATTGAAAATAGCTAATTAAAATCTGTCTAGTAAATCCAACTGGGCTTTCTCAAGGACAGTTTCTATTGATTTCTTTTCCTATGTATGAACTATACTTTCTTGTTTCTTTATTTCTTGAGACAGAGACTCACTCTGTCGCCCTGGGTACAGTCCAGTGGCATCATTGTAGCTCACTGCAACCTCAAACTCCTGGGCTTAAGCAGTCTTCCTCCTTCAGCCTCCCAAGTAGCTAGGACTACAGGCACATGCCACATGCCCAGCTAATTTTTCTATGTTTAGTAGAGACAGGGTGTCATCCCTGCTCAGGCTGGTCTTGAACTCCTGGGCTCAAGCAGTCCTCCCACCTTGGCCTCCCAGAGTGCTAGGATTATAGGCATGAGCCTCCTCACCTGGACTTCTTATTTATATATATGTTTCATAATTTTTAAGTGAAAATTAGACATTTAAAATAATATAATGTGGCAACTCTGGAAATAAGATCTTTCTCCACCCTCCTACTAGGTTTTATTGTTGTTGCTATTTGTTGTTATTGTGTGTTTGTTCATTATAAATTATTCTTATGTGTTCAAAGTCATTCTTTGAATAATTATTTGGGGGTCTAAACTAAGCTGGACTTTCTTAGTTGGTCCTATAGACTATTTCTGACGTAATAGACTTTTCTAACATAATTCTGTAGTCCATGTTCCTTGGTTGTGTTGGCCACTTGGTTTTTTTAGTGGTCAACTAGTGATTGGACAGAGCTTTCCTTGAATAACAGAATCAATAAGTCTTTGTCAAGAGGCATTGTGTGCATGGAGTTTGCACTCAACAATTAGTTGAACTCTACCTTAGCCTTCACTGCTTGTGCAGAGCCCCATGGTCAGCCAAAGGTGAGAGCTTTGGGCTTTCTTATGACATCCTTGAGCATGTATACAACTCTACATATGCATGGCGTTCTAGATTCCTGGGAATATATCAGAGTTTGTCAAAGCTTTATGAAAATCTCATTCCCCAGCTTTTCTCTTTATGCTTTTTTTTTTTTTAAGCCTATTGTTTTCCCTGGCTGTTATCTACCATCTCAGGTAGCCATGAATAATTGCCCTAAATGTTAGTGACAAATGTCCCTGAGGAAAAGACTTTTTTCACTAGGTGAACTCCAAGTCAGATGAAATAAATATAACCTTGCAAGTGGTCTTCCAGGGAATCGCCAGATAGGTTAAATAATCAGAATTATCTGGAAAGTTGACTTTGAAGGAGCTCTGACCTCATCTCCTTCTCATGGCTACCAGATCGCTGGATTTCCCTGTGAGTGCAGGCTGTTGGTTTTCAAGGCTATCATGGACCTGCAGAGAAGGAGTTAGGACAAGAACAAGAAAAACACCACAATGCTAGCCATTCTTACCAAGATTTAGCCACTTGTTCTTGAATAAATGTTCCCTGAATTGCTGCAACCATTTAGTTAATTTCTAGAATTCTCAAAAAGTTGATTTTGATGATTTTTGCCAGTTTTATCATTGCTTTACAGAGAAGAGAATTTAGATTCTCTTTATTTACCTGAATTTAGATTCAGGTCCTTTAGATTCCTAGGCCCCATCCCAAATATATTGAATCAACATCTCAGAGGTTTGGTGTAAAAATCTGCATTTTTATAAGCATCCCGGTGATTCTTACCATACCCTAAAATTTGAGGAACTACTATCTCAAAGTCATTGCTTAACCACTACATTTTAAAATCAACCTTACTGAGCTAGGGAAACAATGGAATTTATGAGATACCAGAAATTTTAAGGACTTCAGAACCTGCAAGCAAGGATTAGACCAGGTGCAGTGGCTCACGCCTGTAATCCTAGCACTCTGAGAGGCTGAGGCGGGTGCATCGCTCAAGGTCAGGAGTGCAAAACCAGCCTGAGCAAGAGCGAGACCCCGTCTCTACTAAAAATAGAAAGAAATTAATTGGCCAACTAAAAATATATAGAAAAATTAGCCAGGCATAGTGGCACATGCCTGTAGTCCCAGCTACTTGGGAAGCTGCGGCGGGAGGATCACTTGAGCCCAGGAGTTTGAGGTTGCTGCGAGCTAGGCTGACGCCACGGCACTCTAGCCCAGGCAACAGAGTGAGATTCTGTCTCAAAAAAAAAAGAAAAGAAAAGAAAAGAAAAGAAAAGAAAAGAATCATATCATTCTTTTCTTTCTTTCCCCAGCCCTCTCCAAAGCAAATAGAAAACATCCTAATCTTAGGAATCCCATGTCCAGGTAGTGTGGAAATTGCCACAGGAACTTGAGGTCCTTGCTTTCCCTAAAACATTTCTGAATGACACTTGTTGCTTGTAGCTGTTTTTGCAAAGCTCTGCATGTTCCTGGAAAGGTTGCAAGTATTGTAATTTGGTCGATTTTAGTCTTTGTGAGAACCTTTTAAATCACATTGCAAAATATGGAAAGAAGTTGAACAGCCATTTCCTGTTCTGATCTCTGCCTGAAAAATAACCACCAACATAACTGGAGATCATAAATCAAGGCAACAGGGAAGTAAATTACGGCCTCTTATTTCTGAATTAAAGGTAGGCAGATGGGTGCAATAGAGCTCACACCCTGTTTCTTAATAATATTTTATGTAGTCAGTGATGTTATGGTGGTAAGAATTCAGTTGGCCAAAATGAATGGATATTTTAGAGCTAAATCTTTACTAAATCAGCCTGAAAGAGTGTACCGGTAAATTTATACTTCAAAAAGACTTCTAGTAAGAACCTGCTTTGGAAGGTGGGTGTCAGGGCTTTGGGAGATTATGCAGAGGCTGTTGGCGAAGACAGCTTCTGCCTAGCCTCCCTGGCCTGGCTCCTTCATTCAATAGCAATGCAGCTTTGAGCTAGTTTCCTAATATCTCTAATCTTCAGTTTCCACATGGGGAAACTGAGTGTAACATGGTGTGTATTCACAGGGCTGCCAGAAGATTAAATGCAATAATCCAAGTGAATCCCTTAGGATATCACCTGGTGTGGTATGAGCATGAATCAAAGGCTGATTGAAATTGTCTTTATTATGGGAATATGGGTATAAAGTGCTCAGCATGGTGGCTACTGTGTAGCAGATGCCCTACATTTGTGCTTCCCAGCATGGTAGCCCCTAGCCACGTGTGGTTACTGAGCACTGGACATGTGCTCATCTGGATTGAGATGTGCTGTAAGTGTAAGATAAAACACATGCTGGGTTCCAGAGACTTAATATGATTTTTAAAAAATATAAACTATCTCATTAATAGTTTCTATATTGATTACATATTGCCTTAATAATATCTGGAGTATGTCAGGTTAAATGAAATATATTATTAAAATTAATTTCACCTGTTTCTTCTACAATTCACTTGGATTACTGCATTTTTTAAAATGTGGCTCCAAGAAAATTTAAGTTTCCATAGGTGGTTTGTGTTTGTGGCTTCCACATAATTCCCTGTAAAACGTACTTTATTAGGTCCACATCTTACCAATTTATGGAATATTTACTATGAAGCAGGCCACGTGGAGGTGGTCTAACAGCAGAATGTACCTGGCAGGAGACTCATGTCCCCCGTATCAGGGAGGTGTGGATGGAGGACGTGACGTCTGAGCAGGGACTCCCTCTCTCCAGAGATTGACAGGAAATTCAATGGTGCTGCTTTGCTGGGGACTTTGCTCCCTTCAGAACCTTTGTTTACATTTTAGAGGCAGGGAAGGCATCTTCATACCTCTCCACCCTGTGAAAACCTGACAGCCACAGAAGTCTCAGCTCTCCAGCAAAGGCCTGGGTCAAGGTAAGGGATATTCTGATATGGGAACCTTAATCTTACTATTTGGCCTCGTACACCTGTTTGTCCAGCTGATAAGGAGTGGATAAACGTTGTTGGAAGAGTTTTTCTTCCTTTCAAGGACGTCTAAATACAGTAATAATTTTTAAAATGCAGTGCCAAGTGAAACCAAGAGAAGGTTAGGGAAGTCATTGCTCAACTTCTGCTGTGAAGATCTTAGAGTTTTAGGGCACTATGAAAAGGCATTGTTGGGCGGGGCACAGTGGCTCACACCTGTAATCCTAGCACTTTGGGAGACCAAGGTGGGAGGATTGCTTGAGGCCAGGAGTTTAGGACCAGCCTGAACAAGAGCGAGACCCTGTCTCTACAAAAATATAACAATAAATAAATAGAAAAATTAGTCGGGCACTGTGGCACATGCCTGTAGTCCCAGCTACTCGGGAGGCTAAGGCAGGAGGGCCTCTTGAGCCCAGGTGTTTGAGGTTGCAGTGAGCTACGATGATGCCACTGCCCTCTAGTCTAGCCTGGGCAATGGAGTGAGACCCTGACTCAAAAAAGGAAGGAAAGAAATGGCATCGTTAACTAGCTAATTTTCTGTCTTTCAGAAACTACTTCACGAGTGAGATATTTAATAGCTCTATATTTAGGTAGTCCTACTTAGTGTGCTAGGGATTCTGAGAGTGGAGCAATGCTCTGTTTGTTTGTTTTAACCAGGCATGGCTCCTTGAAGAAATAGGTTTGTTTATCCAAGGTGAGTAATATAGGGTGTAATAAGGTGCTATGACTGGTTTTTTTTCTGTGTTTATTTTATTTTATTTATTTTATTTTTTATTTATTTATTTTTCTTGAGACAGAGTCTCACTTTGTTGCCCAGGCTAGAGTGAATGCCATGGCGTCAGCCTAGCTCACAGCAACTTCAAATTCCTGGGCTCAGGCAATCCTCCTGCCTCAGCCTCCCGAGTAGATGGGACTACAGGCATGCGCCACCATGCCCGGCTAATTTTTTCTATATATATTAGTTTGCCAATTAATTTCTTTCTATTTATAGTAGAAACACTCTTGCTCAGGCTGGTTTCGAACTCCTGACCTTGAGCAATCCGCCCGCCTCGGCCTCCCAGAGAGCTAGGATTTCAGGTGTGAGCTACCTTGCTTGGCCTGTGTTTTTTTTTTTTAAATAGCAGCTTTATTTTTCACATGCCATATGATTCCCATTTAAAGTATACAATTCAATGGCTTCTTATGTATTCACAAAGTTATGCCACTATCACTGCCATCCATTTTAGGACATTTTCATCGCCCCCAAAAGAAACCCTGTACTCTGTGGTGATCACTCCTTGTCATGGGTTAAATAGTGGCCCCCAAAAGATTTGTCCACCTAGAATCTCAGGATGTGACTTTATTTGGAATAAGGGTCTTTGCAGATACAATTAAGGTAAGGAGCTTGAGAAGAGATCATCCTGGATTAGGGTGGGCCCTAAATCCAATGATGAGTGTCTTTATAAGGGATAGGAAAGGACAACACATAGAGACACAGAGAGAAGGCAACATGAAGTCAGAAGCCAAGATTAGACTTATGAAACTCCAGGGCAAGGAGCACCAAGGGTTGCCAGCATTTCATGGGTATATAGTAGTCCCCCCTTTCTCCTGAGGATACATTCCAAAACCCCGCAGTGGGTGCCTAAACCACAGATGGTGCTGAACCCTATATATACAATGTTTTTTCCTATGCATACATACCTATGGTAAAGGTTAATTTATAAATTAGGCAGAGTAAGAGATTAACACCATTAACTAATAATAAAATAGAACAATTATAACAATATAATAAAATTTATGTGAATATGTTCTCTCTCTTTCTCAAAATATGTTAATTTACTGTACTCACCTATTTTCTGACCACAGTTGACTGTGGGTTTGTGGAAGGTGAAACCATGGATAAGGGGGGACTACTGCACCACATTTTGTTTATCCATTCATTGGCTGACAGACATTTGGGTTATTTCCACTTTTTGGCTTTTATAAATAATGCTAGAATGAACATTCATGGACAAATTTTGGTGTGAACATATGTTTTCATTTCTTTTGGGTATATATCTAGGAGTGGAATTGCTGGATCATATAATTAACTGTATGGCTAACATTTTGAGGAACTTCCAGAGCATTTTCTGAAATGGCTGCACAAATTTACATTCCCACCAAGAGTGTATGAGGGTTCTATCTTTTCCACACCTTTGCCAACATTTGTTATTAACTTTTTTATTATAGCTGTGTCCATACTACAAATTCCCTCAGGACTTCAACTTCCTCACTACGTGTCCCTGTGGGTACACACAGCCTTTGTGTTCATACCACAAGCCCCTTGAGTTAACACAGGTTGCTGTGTCCATAGCACAAGCAGTCTCAGGTCAACAGAATCTTCTGCATCGACATGTGTCTATTTCACATGTCCCCTGGGTTACACACAGTCCAAACCCAAAGTCTTCTTGGGTCCATACAGATTCCTATGACCACGTCACAGATCTCCCCAGGTGCACAGAGCCTCCACACCCATACCACAACTCCCCTGGGGACACACAAATGTCCCCTCAGGTATACACAGTCCTTTTTTGTCTACATCACAAGTTTCCTCGGAGCCACACAGCCACAGTGTCCACAGCAGAACCCTGAGGCACACACAGCCTTCAATCCACACGAGAAGTCTCAGGGACACACAGCCTTTGCGTCCACATCATGCGTGCCATTGTGTACCACGTCCTTTTATGTCTGCACCACAAGTCTTCTTGGGAGCAGACGCTTTCTGATTCCACTCCACAAGTTGTCTTGAGTCCACACACCTTGGTGAGCACATCCTGTACCCTCTCCGGGTATAGATGACCTTATTTGTCCACATCCAGTGTCCACACCAGAAGTCGTTTTGAGTCCACACTGCCTTTATTTTTTAAACTTCCATGTCCCTGGTACCCTCAGGTTACACAGCCTTCTGGGTCCTCCGTCTACACCAGAAGGCCCCTCAGGAACACACAATTATCTGTGTCTATACCACAAGTCAGTATAGACAGCTTTCTCCTTCCACACCACAAGTCCGTTTAGGGACACACAGCTTTTTACCTCCACTGTAGAAGTCCCCTCAGGGAAACACAGGCGTCTCTGTCAACATTACCAGTCCTCTCGGGCACACTCCCCATCAACGTTCACACCTCCTGTCTTCCTCAGGGGCACACAGCCTTCTCTGTCCACACCACAGATCCCCTTGGGTACTCAAGACCCACACCACAAGTCCCCTCAAGTACACAAAGCCTTTTACGTGCACACAGTGAGTCCTCTCAAATACATACAGCCTACCATGTCCACATTACGAGTTTCCTCTTGGACTCCCATCTTCTTGGTCTTAAGTCAAGGACTTAAGAAAGGACTGCCCTGGGCAACTAATTGCCTAATACTTAAAAAAATCAGCATGATTCAGGTTCATTGTGCCAGTGCATCAGTTGACACAGGCTGGTATTCTGATTAAGTATATTTGTATTTTATTTCTTTCTAGATATACATCGAAGCCACTGGTTTCCATATCTGGGGACAGTTCAACTATTCATTAAGTATAAGCTGGCTTGTTCAAGCAGGTTTCATGTGGGATATTATGATATTTTTATGACTTTTTCCCTAGCTTTATTGAGGTATCATTGACAAATAAAAATTGTATATATTTTAGTTATACAATGTGATGCTTCGCATAAATTGTGAAGTGGTTCCCACCTGAACATATCTGCCATGATTGAGTTGATATTACATTTTTGCCATCACTGTGGACCTGCCAACCCACTTTGTTAATAGACAACAATTTCATGCACACCCTGTTGGATCAGAGAAAAGAGAAGCTTGATCGTGATAAATTGGTCTCCTAGACTGAATTTGGCTCTGGAACTTCTGTAGTTAAGAAAAAGCCCAAGTTTCCACTAGTCAAACAACAGTCTTCCTATTTGGCAGTGAAAGGAGGGCAGGTAGTCCTCCTATGTAGTCCTTGAGGACAGCTAGGTACAAGAGAGTCATGACTATGGGTCAGCAGTGAGGTCAGCATGGCAAGAGGAATGCAGCTTTCACACCCACACCTTGGGGACTGAGCTAGTTGTGGCCTCGTCATCTGTGGTCAGGGTTGGACTTGGGTGACCACTGATCTGGAAACTTCCCTGGCTTATAGGCCAGCCACAGAACAAACCCTCTCTCTACTCCTCAACCAAATGGAATCCAAACCCAGCCTTATGATAGATTTAGTCTTCTTAGAATGCTTTAGATCAGTGATTCTGCCCAATACCCTTTTGCCATCCCCCAGCCTACTCCTTCTGAGCCTGATTGGCTCCTTGTGGCACATTGCTCAGGTGAGTCTTCCTAAGTGTCTGACAGTGACAGGAATTGAGCAAGCTTAAGCAGGTTTATTTTTATTTATTTATTTATTTATTTTGAGACAGAGTCTTGCTTTGTTGCCCAGGCTAGAGTGAGTGCCGTGGCATCAGCCTAGCTCACAACCACCTCAAACTCCTGGGTTCAAGCAATCCTCCTGCCTCAGTCTCCCCAGTAGCTGGGACTACAGGCATACACCACCATGCCCGGCTAATTTTTCTATATATATTAGTTGGCCAATTAATTTCTTTCTATTTATAGTAGAGACGGGGTCTCACTCTTGCTCAGGCTGGTTTTGAACTCCTGACCTCGAGCAATCTGCCCGCCTCGGCCTCCCAGAGTGCTAGGATTACAGGCGTGAGCCACCGCGCCCGGCCTAAGCAGGTTTATTTATCATGGGATTTCTCTGAGCCTTCAGTAAGCATTCTGACTCTGTATGGGAGGAACAAAGTTTGCATAGTTGTTCAAACTTACTTGTCCATGAAACTTGTTTCTTGTCAATGATCTTAGAGGACTAGTGTTGGGCAAGACACTGTTATATGCTGGGTTTTCCAGAAGCAGGACATGAAGTGGCAATTCTTGCATGAGTGATTTACTGAGAGGGGAATCTCCAG